CATGGTATAAACACAAGGGTATGCTCATCCGGTGGACGAATTTAGAAAGCTTTTGCGCATCACTCAGTTTACGTCACATTCGGCTACTTTCGGATGCTTTCGGAAGCTTTCGGACTCTGAGTGCCAATGAAGTATGGGCTGCCGTATTTATGATATTCGTTAAAGCGGTAAAGTAAGCAAGAGTTTTTATTAAAAATAATGGCTGTTTGTGCAGTAAAAGTCTGCAATAATTATTATCGAAAAACGGTAAGAATGAAAGGAGAGGAAATAAAATATTTCAGGTTTCCTAAAGATCCTGAAATTGCTGCAAAATGGATCGAAGTGTGCGAGGAAAATGTAAATTTAACGCATGGTAAGGTTGAAATATTGCATATTAACGCATAAACAAATTGATAGTGTAAATGTAAATAACTAATCTGGTTAGGTTAACTTTTTACAATCAAACAAAAATATCACGAAACTCTTGGTGAAAATTTGTCAGAATTTTTACATGAATTAAAACGCTTTCAGAAGTATTGAGAAAGAATACACTTTTTCTTATAATTTTTTATTATATGTGAATTCGTATAAACATTCGTATAAACAAATCTAGATTTTAAATTCTTTATTAAAAATATTTTTAAATTATATGAAAAATTTTCACCAAGAGCACTGACAATTTCATCGATTAATACTATTGTACAATTCCACCTTATTTATTTATGTATTTATTTATGCTGAAACAATAGAGGATAATAATAAAGGCAACTCTGAGAGTCAACGAAACATTACAAATTAAATTTTCCTGTATATAAAAATTTTGAATTTAATTAAATTTCGTATGCATACATGACATGTTTCGGCTCCTTGATTGAGCCTTCTTCAAATGTAATGATTATCAAAATTTCTTAATAAATATAGTCATTACTTATATTATATATACACGTTATACTTATTATATTACATATTAGTTATTATATATACACATATACCTGCAATTGTTTTTTTATTCATTTCATCGTCCATTCCTTAAAAATAAGTTACAAAAGAATCTTAAATGATCATTATATGTATATATTTTTTTTGTAAAAAGAGCACAATGAAAGTTTTTTGCTAATTGCGTATTTCTACAATAAATAATGTGAATTGCTTTTCAAGAAAAGTATTAATTGTTACTAAAAGTGTAACTAAAATCACCTTCCTTTATATAAATTATTTCACAATTTATATAATGGAAGATGATTTCTTTTTTATTTTTTGAAATTATTTGTGATACGATTAGAATAAATTATTTGAATTTAGCGGCGAGAAATCACGTTTTTAAAGTCAATCTTATTAGAAAATACCGTAATTCAATACTGTATGTAGAAGTACTAAGCAAATGCATTTTGAATTTGCCGCTTAATGTGACGTAGACTGAGTGACATTTCTGATTGGTTGTCTGAAACTATCATGCGCGTGAGCATACCCTTGTCTTTATACCATGTTACATATATGCTGGCGATACTGCTGTTTGGTAAAGCATGCTCGGCATAAGAGGAGTGTATTTATTAAAAATAAAAACGAGAAAATGTCAGTGCAAGAATGTATGATCAAATTTTGTATGTTACAAAACGAACAATATATTCGCAGAAAACACATAATGAATTTAATAAGTACAGGACGCCGAGCCTTATTCCAACGTTTACTAAGGTTATGTTTGGAGTAAAAATTTAACTTACTTTTTACATGGAAAGTTGTAAGTAATCCAATACCTCCTTATCTTATTATGAAAGGCATACAATATAGAAAAATATGAATGAAAAAAGGAGTTATAAATTTTGGGAAAGTATTGTATTAAATCATTATACTGAATCGGAATGGCTTGAAAGTTTCCGAATGTCAAAAATAAGTTTCTTGAAATTGTGTGATTTACTTAAAGATGAGCTACAACCCAAAATGCAAATTTTAAAGGCTAGAGAGCCTGTATCTGTAAACAAACAAATTGCTATAACTCTATATAAACTTGCTAGTTGTTCTGAATATAGAGTAGTTGGGAATATATTTGGAGTACATAAATCTACAGTGAAGAAATGCTTTTACAAAGTTATAAAAGCTATTAATAACATTATGGCTCTCATTTATATTAAAATGCCAAATCAAGCCGAATCTGAATATATTGCAACACAATTTGAAAATGTGTCTCATATTCCTCAAATAATTGGTTGCATTGATGGAACACATATACCTATTACAGCATCAGAAGAAGGTTATAGAGATTTTGTCAATAGAAAAGGATGGGCATCTTACAATATTCAAGCAGTAGTAGATCATAATGGACGGTAATTGAAAGACATGATACATATATATATATTAGGATCAAATTTGTAAAAATATATGCAAATGTATTATTTACAATAAATATATCTATGTTGAATCTTTTAATGGGTTCATTCAGTAATACGTCTGCTCACTGAATGCACAGTGAGCAGTTATCATTCTAAATGCATCCAATGTGTAATTTATGATAGTACAGCATTAAGATGACTGTTTTCCTTTTAGGAGATACAGTCGACACAAATCCTTCTTTCTTTGTTATTCATTCAATATCAAGAAGAATAGAACAACGTTTGTATCAATTGTGTCTCCTAAAAAGAAAGCAGCCAATGTAATTTTAATACCTAAAATTACGATGATATACATAAAAACAAAACAATAATAATGATGTAATAATAAATATTGATTTTTTAAATATTTTTATCTGTAACAGGTTTCGTAATATTTTTGCTAAACACCCTGGGAGTGTTCATGATGCCGTGGTTTTCAAAAATAGTACATTATACAAAAACTCACACGAAATAATACCACAGGTTTTTATCTTTTTTTTTAATTAATTCAAATACTTTTTATTTATTAATTGATTATGAATTATGAATTATACTATTATACTATTATACTATTAATTATATTATTAATTATACTATTTATGCAATAAAATTGTATTTTGTATTTTAGCGGAGCACAAGATTCTTTTGTATTTTGTAAATCAAATTGTGTGTGTATGTGCACACATACCCAGATAACATTTATGTTGCATAAGATATCTAAAAGACGTTTTTTAGACATGTTTTAGACATAAGACTTCTAAAAGACGTCTTTTAGATATCTTATGCAACATAAATGTTATCTGGGTATATATATACATATATGATATATGATACTGAAAAAAATACATTTAATTTATTGTAGGTAGAAAAATATATAAATGGAAAAGCAATACCTTTCATGATAGTCGGAGATCCGGCCTATCCAATTCTGCCTTGGATAATGAAGGGTTATTCTGGTTCACTTTCATCTGAAGAAGAATCATTTAACGTCTATCTCAATTCAGCAAGGGTTTCAGTAGAAATGGCATTTGGAAGACTAAAAGTCAGATGGAGAATATTATAAGAAAGATTGGACTGTAACTATAAATTTGTACCTCAAGTTATAGTTGCATGTTGTGTGTTACACAACTTTTGTGAAAATAATGACAGATTTCTTGAGGAATGGATTACTGAGTTTGAAATATTTGCGCAACCAAGAGAACAAATAAATCGTGAACGAGGCAATGTATGTTCTACTATTATACGAGAATGTCTAAAAGATTACTTATCTGCAAATTTTCCTTTACGAAAGACGATATTAAGATAAAATTTAAACAATTTTATTTGATATACTCTGTAAAACTTTATTGCCCAGCAAATACCAAATTGTATATAATGTATATTTGTTTGTTGGAGTATTGTTATTTTGTCTTAAACTTAACATTTATAATACTTTGATTTTATAATACTTAGATCTTATAATACTTTGATTTCTTATAAATTTAAACTTAATATATTTTATAATACTTTAGCTTATTATATAATATACTTTTATAATAGATTATATATAGTTTCAGTAAGTGATAATAAAATATTGCTTATCTGCAGTAAAATAAACGTTTATGTAAATCAATAAAATAAATAAATTTTTATGTCTTTGAATTGTCGTCATTCTCAGTAATACTAGAAGATGTGGATGTTGACGTCGTTGGTGTATTTATTCCACTTAGCTCAGGGATATTTCCTTGTTTCACCTATTAAATAAAAATAAAGATTTTATATTATATAAAGTAATTAGGTATAATGTATCGATGTAAAGCATGGTTTATATGTATAAGCCGTATTCGTAAACTTAACAAATTAAATCATAAAGATTCAGAGGAGAAAATGGCCAACTTTGTTTTATCTAACATAGTTAAACACTAGTCTAATGTCTGTATCACACTAGCAACTGGAGATTGCTTTTGCGTTTGCGTCTCAACCAATCAAAAGAAGCTGTCCAGCAGGTCTCGTCCGATTGGTCAAGAGATGCAATCGCGAATGCAGACGCAATATCCTAGTGTGATACGGGCATAACATTAATCGATCAGGTTCTTCTAATCCTTACGATTAAATTCATTAAGTTTGAAAATATGGCTTATGTAAATTTTTCTTAACTTACACTAACTTTATTATAAACATACCGGAATAATTTTGACATGTTGTGGCAGCTTATAATTTGTTCCAATTCCATAATTTTGAGGCATTAGAAAATTTTGTGGCATTCCATAATTTGATGGCACAGTCGAAGAACCTATTAATTGTATTGCTTGTACAAAAGATTGCATCTGTTCCTTTTGAAATGCATGCTCCTTCTCTATTATTTCTTTTTCCCACAATCTTTAGTTTTCCATTTCAACCTTTATCATCTCTTTTTACATCTCATATTCTGTTTTACAATAATATCTGCTAAAAATTCTTTTTGAGATTGTAACATATTCTGTGTATATTTGTCTAAAACAGTTTCGTAGCTTTTTCTATCTATAATGTTATAATAATTGTACATTTATATATTGATATTAATATATACAATAAGTTTAATATATACAATAAGTATATAAAGATATACGTAAATATTAAACATATATTTAAAATTTATCTTAATTAAAATTGCGGAAAAATGACCGAAAATACCTGATATTATTCAATTACCATATACACATCTAGACGATTCTTACAGACATATTTCTTCTTTCTAGGAGGTTCGTTGCTAATAGTTGAACTAGACTCGTCTTCTTCCGGAATTTCACTCTCATTTATACTTGAACAATCCTGCATATATTCACAAGCTGAAATCATATTTAGTTAATTACTTTTTTATTTTAATCATGATTAAGCACAGCATCAAATGATTCAGAACCAGGATTCTTAATGAAAATTATGCTACATTTAGGTTTTATGTTTTACCTAATCTTACTTATTTTTTTATTACAGTTTTTTAAACATAATAAAACGTATTTATTGGCATGCACTCAAAATCTTATATCACATCTATTACCCCACATCTACAATAGAGTTCTAAGCCTTAAACCATAAAAAATGGACGAATCTTAGACAATTATTCTCCTCGAATTCGACCGTAATTGCAGGTTGATTTCTTACGGCTTAAGCTCAAAACACGTATTGTAGATCCAGGATTAAAACTGCGGTCCACTTAGTGCTTTAAACGCTACAGAGCACTTGTAGCACTGATATGAATGGTTCATTTGACACTTTGGAACGCTCCTAATAGAATGAGACCAAAAATTCAAGAAGGTATTTAAATGAATTAGTTAATTTTATTTAAATATAAATGTAATTATGACACTTACATGATTCATTTTGAATATCTGCAGTGTCGATTCCTGATTCATCATGAAGGACTTGCACATTTGGTCGAGTACTGTATAAAATATCTAATTGTTCAAAGAATGGACAGGTTGTTCTTGCTGCACCACTAAGACTATTTTCTCTTTTACATTTAAAGTAAGCAAGTCCCAAATTTTTTAATTTCAATTTCATTTGTTGAGCCGTTTTAGAAAAACCTTTTTCTTTCATATTTTCAACTAATGATTCGAAAATATCAACATGTTTATGTTTTTTTCCGTCCATTAATGAAATTGTGGTGACCAAGTCACCACTATATCAGCCATGGAAACATGATAGTGCATTAAATTAGAATAGGTAGAGGCATTCAGGTACACGAACATATACTTGACCTATATAACGAGAAACAGCTGACGCGAATAAACACAGAGAGCCTTTAAATCCACAAACTTCTTGCGACCGTTTCTTTTCACCGGTTTAGCAATATGAGGCGAAAACAAGAAATCAAGGCTGAAGAAATCTGAACTAGAGATGTACATAGATTATTTTTCCGCAATATACTTTCTGCATCATATTTTTATTAAATCTGTATATGGTCACATAAGAGAAACGTAATTAGAAATGATTATCTTTCATTATATTGTAATTAGAAATATTGTAATATATAATTTCGTATTGTAAATATAACGACGACGACCGATATGTTACACGCAAAATATTGACAATAAATAGAAATTGCGAGAAAGACGCGACGGACAGAAGCAAGCGTTAAAATTTGACAAAGATACAGTCGCTCAGCTGACGTGCGTCAAAACAGTCGTATCTCTTTGTATAGCGCATTGTATACCGAGAAACGGAAAGATCATATTATTCCACGAGCAGATTGTAAGCGAATTTGAAGTAGCGACTTATATGTGTATAAGTGCGACCATCGTAACTCACACGCGCTTGTAACTACAATTTGATTTAATATACTGATTATAATTCTGATTTGTAAATGATATATATTATTTTGGCGACCTTTTCCATTATCACGTCATTTGTAGGTATATCACTACTAATACGTTGTCCAGAGTACCATAGTCTTTATTGAGAACTTAACTGGTTGATTGGTTACAAGAGAAGTAGTATGTACATAACATAGTCGCCGCTGCCAACATAAAACTCCGTTCCCTTTGGGCGGATACGCATGAGGCGCCACATACTCCCCTTCTAGAGTTAACGATACTAACTTAAATTATGTAGGAACATATAAAGTAGAAACACTAATATTAATTTTAAAATTATACTTAAAACTAACGCTGGATGATGTGTAATATTGTTACTTATTTTTAGTTAAATTGAAACGTACCCGTCCTTTGCCACTCGGATAAGTTCTAATGGGTTTTTGTACTGTTAAATCTGGTGACGGGGTCTGACTAGGTTGTGTGGGTGTTATGAGGGTAGTTTTTTGAGGTTGATTGTCTGTGTCTTCTGACAGAAAATGTGCAGGTTTCAGACGTTCTACTGCGACGCTGACTGTCCTACCATTTAACTCGATAGAATAAACTTTATCTGAGATCCTTTCCACAATTTTGAACGGGCCACTATAAGGACGTTCTAGGGGTCTTTTTACTGAATCTTTACGTAAGAAAACGTGTGAGCAGTTAGCGAGTTCTTTAAAAACGAACGCTTTTTTCTTACACTTGTGGGCTACTGGAACTGGCCTAACTTGTTGCATACCTTGGCGAAAATCGTTAATAAAAATTTGGGGGTCTGGTCTGAAATCTCCTTGAAGGAAAAACTCTCCTGGTACCCTAAGGGTCGTGCCATACACGAATTCGGCTGGAGAAGCATTAGTGTCTAATCTAACGTGAGTCCTTAATCCGAGCAGTACCGTTGGGAGGATATCTGTCCAATTTTTAGTGTTGTGACACATAATTGCTGCTTTAAGAGAACGGTGCCAGCGCTCTATCATCCCGTTGGAGGCTGGGTGGTACGCCGTCGTGCGGATGCGCTTGCAGCCGATGAAGGAAAGAAGGGCCGAGAAAAGCTGAGACTCGAATTGAGTCCCTTGATCTGTAGTGATTGTCCCAGGGGCACCAAAGCGTGTGATCCAGTTGTCGTAGAATGCTTTCGCGATAGTTCTTGCTGAGGTATCAGCTATCGGGATCGCTTCTGCCCAACGGGAAAAACGATCAATTAGTGTTAAACAAAATTTGAAACCATTGCTTTCTGGAAGAGGTCCAATGATATCAAGGTGAACGTGCTCGAAGCGGCCATCGGGAGCCGTAAATTGAGCAGAAGTCTGTATGACGTGTCTAGAAATTTTTGATTGTTGACAGTCAATGCAGCTTTTTGCCCACTTAGTAACGTCGCGATGCAAATTCGGCCAGATATATCGTTGTCGGATCATACGATCAGTGACCTTAGCGCTGGGATGAGCGGGATTGTGGAAGAGATTAAAAACTTGTCTTCTCAAAGAAACTGGTATGTAAGGACGGATGGCTTCTGCCGACAGGTCGCAATAGAGCTCGGAATTTGAGGAGCCCCAGATAAATCTTTTTAATTTAAGTGACGATGAGTCAGAAAGTAATAAATGTTTAAGTTCTTCGTCTTCTTTTTGCCGGGAAGCTAAATCGACTAATTCGAATTCTACCGGGAGGCGAAGGCCTTCTATGCGGGAGAGACTATCCGCGACGATATTGTCGGATCCGGCAAGAAATTCAATGTCTGTAGAAAACTGTGCTATAAATGACAGCTGTCGTAACTGTTTAGGAGACGCCTTGTCAGAACGTTGTTTGAAAGCGAAGGTTAATGGTTTATGATCTGTTAAGATCTTGAAATTTCTACCCTCTAAAAAGTGTCGAAAGAATTTGATCGATTCGAATACCGCGGTAAGCTCACGGTCATAAGCGCTATAATTTTTTTGAGCGGAGGATAATTTTTTAGAGAAAAAAGCTAGAGGCTTCCAAAACCCCCCAATTTTTTGTTCCAATGACGCTCCTAAAAATAAATCTGAAGCATCTGAGACAACACGAGTTTCTGCCTTAGTTGATGGGTGCGTGAGTAGGGTCGCATTAATTAACTTCGATTTTGCCGCTGCAAATGCGGCTTCTGCTTCAGGGGACCATTTAATTTCTCGTTTATCATTTTTGTGGGAGTTTTCTAAATATTTATGTAGAGGAGCCAAAGTTTGTGCTGCCTGGGGGAGACTACGCCTGTAAAAATTTAGAGTTCCCAGGAATCTTCGCAATTGGACGACTGTGCGAGGTTTGGGGAAGTCCCTAATGGCTGCTATCTTTTCATGTGTCGGTTTTATGCCTTCACCATTTACTAGATACCCTAAAAAAATTATTTCTTTTACTCCAAGAGTACATTTGGAGGCGTTTAAAAATAGTCCAAATTCCTTAAGTTTTTGGAAAACTAAGCGGAGGTGCGTTTCGTGTTCCTCTTCAGACGAGGATGCAACAAGGATATCGTCTATATAAACGTAAACGAAATCTAAATCTCTTAACGCTCTATGAATGTATCTTTGAAAAGTTTGCGCAGCATTACGGAGACCGAAAGTCATCGAGAGGAACTCGAATAGACCGAAAGGGGTAATAACTGCTGTCTTCGGCACGTCTGATTCAGCTATTGGGATTTGATAATAAGCTTTTCGCAGATCAAGTGACGAAAAAATTTTTTTTCCCAGAAGGTTAGCCGAGAAATCGTGTAAATGTGGAATCGGGTATTTATCAGGAACAGTGATCGCGTTTAATCGGCGGTAGTCACCGCAAACTCTCCACTCGTTTGACTTTTTAAGAACGAGGTGGATAGGACTAGCCCAAGGGCTATTCGACGGCCTACAAATTCCTGCTTGCATTAAAAATTTAAATTCAGCTTTTGCTGCTTTCAACTTATCCGGTGGCAACCGGCGAGGACGTTCTGCGATTGGCGGGCCTGTAGTTATTATATGATGCTCGACTTCTCGCAGTGTAGGAAAAATTTGTTGATTTACGCCCGTTATCTCTGGAAATTCGGCTAAAATCTCCGAAAACTTGGAGTCGAGTTTGACTGTTGAGATCCTTCTTTCGGGAATTTTGCGTACTTTACCCGATACATGAAGATTCGTAACGTTATCTATAAGTCGATGTTTATGTAAGTCTACTACTAGTTTATAAGCTTTTAACAAGTCTGCACCGATTATTGCCGTTGGTACAGCAGCTATGCGAAATCTCCATGACAACGGTCGACGGAGACCTAAATCTAACGTGATGCGACGGACGCCGAACGTATCGATTGTGGAATCGTTCGCTGCAAATAACTTAAACGACGACGGTTTCTGTTTTTCGCGAACGGAGGCTGGTAGTAGAGAAATTTCTGCGCCCGTATCGATAAGGAAACGCTGACCAGATTTCCGGTCGGTTACATGGAGGCGGCTTTGTAAAGCCCCCTTAGACCCGGCCGTCTCCGCGCGGGTATGGGGATTTAGTTTTCCGAATCGCTATCAGATTGCCAAGAGCATGGTTTCCGGCATGACGTGGCTTTCGCTCCGTATTTACGATGAATGTAACAAGGTCCCGATTGTTTTCCTTTTTTAGGCGAAAGATCGCGCGATCGGCCGCGGGACGAGGAGCGACGTCGCCGAAGTTTTGTTACTTCCTTGTTTAAAGACGCTAACTGTTTAGTCAATTTTGACAACTTTTCTTCGATATTCGTTGAACTGGCGTCGACTTGGGGATTTGTTTTATCTGACGGTACTGCGACTGCACTGCATGACGCGTTATTTAAGTCCGCCAGCTTGTCGGCTATTTCCGCTAACTTCGGCAAATCAGATTCATTTGATGAAACTAAAATAGCTTTGTGCGCTTCCGGTAATTGTTCTAAGAATAATGATTTCAATACCGAATCGTTACATTGGCCGTTACTGAGGTTTCTCATGTGATTTAACAATTGTGACGGCTTTTGGTCATTATTTACTTGACCTTTTAATAATTGCCGTAACCGAGTCTCAGCGGAGACCGCATAAACGGATAAGATACGCTCTTTAATTCGTTTGTATAGGTCCTTGGGGGGAGGATTCATAACCACTAAATCGGTTATGTTCGTGACTACTTCATGATCGACCCCTGTCAGAAGGTAATCGACTTTAGTACGTTCCACCGTAATGTTAGCGACACGGAACGACGCTTCAATTTGTATAAACCATGCCTCAGGGGCATTTCGCCAGAAGGGCGGAATTTTCGGGACGCGATAGGATTCTATGCGAACAGTTTCTTCGGTCATTGTTGACGAAACTACCGGTACACTAACAATGAACAATGTGCCTACTTACACGCTACGCATGCGCGAAATAACTTGACGCAAATTTTCTTCTGCGTGCTGCGATGAGTCCTGCCGGCGTATGTTCTAGAACCACAAAGAGGTTATCGCTGCCACAGGCTGAGAACCACGTCTAGGTTACGCAGTCCAACTCTACACTTTATCCTGTCGTGCTGAATTATCGAGCTCTGCTGACGCGATGATGCCGTAATGGCTGACTCTGTAACAACGGAATTCGTCGCGCGCCCGCTTAATGTAACTCGCGGGTACGCGACAAATCCGAAACCAATATCTCTGACGACCTGGACTGTGCTGTGTCTGACGAGATCACGTCGGGGTCACCAATGTAGGTATATCACTACTAATACGTTGTCCAGAGTACTATAGTCTTTATTGAGAACTTGGCAGCGATCATGTAATTTTTCCCCTAGAGCGGAAAGGCGAAAAGTGAAAGATTTCACGTGAACTTATGATCATAGAACTCGGCGAAACGTTGAAACGTGAAACTTTTCACGTGAATTTTTCCGCCATCAAATGTGATAGCGGGAAGGTGAAA